ACAAGATATCCAGTAAGGTTGTCATTCCATCTATTTATTTAATCACACAACTTTTTTGTTTTTCTTTAGTCTCCATTTTCCAAATTAACCATGATCACTTAAGCAAACAAACATGCATCAAGGAATGCAATCATATCTCAATTTTTCAATCAAATAATAGTCATGTAAGGCAGCAATTCATGCATTCAAACCATAAAATTGATAAATCAGATACCATCATACTTTTAGACTGTAAAATAAATCAACAGAAATTAACAGAGAATAATTTTCAGTTCGGGCTCCATTAGCAATCCGTAATTAATTATGCACATTTATTTAATTTGCACAAATACCATATTATTATTTATTTAGACCTCAATTCTATGATAGGGAATAGGGTGAGAGATCCTTACTCGATTTGACGTCCGAAAAGCTAAGCTATTTACTGCACCTACGGGCGATCTCTAGGTTCCCTAAATTTTTCTCTGAGAATCAAAACACGTTAATAGTACTTAAAAATGTTCTAAACAAATCCAAAATCAGTCCTATGGCCAACTTAGCCAATTTTAAAATTCTGGCATGATGGCTTTGCCGTGCTCCAGCGATGGCGTCACCGCCCACGGCAGCAATCCGCCTTGAGTCAGTCATTTTTGGCAAATTTTGCATCGATTCCTGCGAGAAAACACATTAAATGGTCTCGGTTGGTCCAAAAAACATGAAAAATCGAAACTCACCGGCGGTAGGGCTCTCCGGTGCGGCGGCTCCTCCGGCTCACGTTGCAGTTGGGTGTTTTGCTCCGGTCAACCTTTAGATAAGGACACGGTAATTACAATCGTGAAAAAATTACATAGAACGGGAATTGGGAAAGGCCTCATCGGAGGCGTTTTGTGATATTCCCCACGGCGGCGCAGCCGGGCTTCGCTGGCATTTTTCAGTCAACTTGCTAGTCTTTTTTCTTTGATTTAGTCATGAGTGAGCTTAAAATTGAATTTCATGCAAAAATAAAAGTTTTTACCTTTTTTGGCGGTTGAAAAGGGTTCCGGTGCGGCAGCGGGTGGCGGCGATCGGCTCCCTGGTAGCTGGGTCGTCTTCTCCGGCGAGGGTGTCTGGCGGCTTGGGTTAGGATTTTGTGTAGATGGGGGTTGTTTATATTCATCCGCTTTTTATTTGGGTCATCTATCGAGTTTAATATGGACCGTCCGATCGCGATTAAATAGGGAGTGAATCTGGACCGTTCATCGCGATCCAATTTGGACCGTCCATCACGTTTGACTCTGAGCCGTCTGATCGCGTTTGAATCTGGCTGTTCGATCGCGGGCACGCGGATCGCTCGCGTGGCTTCCTGCATGGCACCACGTCAGCGCCCGTTGCCACGTGGCAGAACTTCTCCAAATTGCACTTTAACTCTTAGTTTCTGATTTTTCTTTAAAAAATACTGAACCCAAATTTTTACCCATTTTTTCCCAAAATTGTTTCTAATTTTATTCTCATTCAATTTTTACTTCATTTTTACCCTAAATAAAATAAAATAAAATAACATAAATTAATAAAAAATTATATTTATTAATTATTTAATTATACACAAATTTTTATTTATTTTATTTTATTATTTCCCTTTTTTTTTGTGGGTGTTATACCCCGGATTTTCTGAATTTTTTTACGGAGATTAAACACACTTCACATACCTAAAAATATCCCCCAAAAATTCAAAATCGGTGTTAAAAATTTTTTTTCAGCTAATTTCAGAGTTCCGGCACGGGGTGACCGCCGTACTCTAGCGACAGCACCACCGCATGCGGTGGCGGTTTGCCTCAGCTTGGCCATTTTCGGCTAGTTTTGGCCGGTTTCTGTCGACTTTATAAATATTTCTGCGAGAAAACACGTTAAAAGATCTCGGTTAGCCGAAAAAAAATCAGAAAACGAAAATCTAGCAGTGGTGAAGTTTTCCGATGCGGCAGCTCTGCCGGCTCACCTTCGCAACTGAGATTTTTTCTTCGGTCAATTTGTAGAAAATAGAACGATGAACATAATGATAGAAAAATTGCAGGAAACGAAAACCGGGAAGAGGCTCATCGGAAGCGGTTGCGAGTTTTACCCGCGGGGGCTCCGCTAGGCTTTGCTCGCAGTTTCCGACTCACCCGCCGTTTGTTTTTACTCTGATATGGTCATAAGGGTGCTCGAAATCGAATTCCGAACGAGTCGAAAATTTTTTACCTTTTTTGGCAGTCGGAGATGGCTCCCGGTGTGGCAGCAGTCGGCAGTCGGCAATCGGCTCTTTTATCCGACGACTAGTTCTTCTTCTCGTACCCGCTATTATCATATAATACATAACTTTTGAATTAGATGGTTGAGAATTCAAACTCTTAGAATAAAAACAAATATATATTAAAAAAATTAAAAATCTTGGTATTATAAATATTATTGATAGGTAATTATAAACAATTTACTTGTTGTTTATAAGTTCGTATTTTATTGACATCCATATTTATAGAAGTAAAAGTAAAAAAAAAATTACATAGTAATCTTTGAAGTTAAAATATACATATATATATATATATATATATTAAGAGTAGATCTCCAACGGTGGTCCATATTTCGACAAGTCTCTACATCGATATCCACTATTACTTGCTTTGATTTTGACATTAGTTAAATATGAAAAAAAAAAAAAGAAAGTACATGAAAATAGAAGAAACAAAATACTTAGGAAATTAAAATAAACGAAACATGTGATGTCATAATGACTAGAAGTTTATTATTATTTTTTTATTAATAATTAAGAAAACGTGCTTTCCCTAATATTTTACAATAATAAAAACAAAAATAAATTGATTGAATTTCGTTTTTGTTAAATAATTGAGTTGTTTCATGCCGGTGAGTGGGACAGTTTTTTCACATAAATTATAAATAAATAATTTAGAGAAATGAAATTTGGCACGTGTGAAACGGTAGGGGTAAAATGGTCACACGTGTTTTGCATGCCGCTGCCGTCACTGTCTCCCACCTGGTGAATTCAGTTTTACGGCCCCTCTGAACCACTCTTGGTGCGTCCTGACTGATCTTTTTGTCTTTTTTCTTGTAGCAGCTTTTTCCAAAAAATGCATGCAAGATGTCAGTTCAGATTTCATTATTTTAAATTATTTATAGAAATATAATTTAAATTTATAATTATTTTGATGTTAATCAAACGGAGAATTAACATCTTCACGTAAGGCGCCCATTGGGCAACCTAGTTATCAAGTAAGTGACTCGGCCTCGTCTACCACAATTCACTAAATTGGATTTGGACTGAACCCAAAATTCCAACCTAATTTATATTTATTTAATTTGTACTTAATTCCAAGTTTAAATTTCATATTAAAATTTCAAAGTTTGAAAGTAAATTATATTCATATTATACGTACATATAAAGATTACTATAAAATTACAATTAAAAATTTAATTATGAATTTAACATAATAAGAAATTTCTAGTTTATTATTGATGCGTAAATTACTTAAAAAAAAAATAAGAGTGTAATAAATTAGAGTAAAAATTGTGTATTTAATAAAATAGTTGTAGATGTTAAAATAATAGAAAATATATAAAAAAAAAACTAATATAAATAGTTATTTGTAAAATAATATTAAAAACATATATAGATACAAATATTAGATGCCTACTATATAAACTGGTATATATATAACATATATAACAAATATATAGGTTCTAATATATATAACATATATGCACGTACTGGTGTTATATATAATATATATTTGTATATATCGAAATATATAATATATTGAATTAACAAAAAACTTAAATATGAAAACAATTTACTTTGAATTATCATTTATATAATAATATTAAGCAATAAAAAACAATTATTTTTTAGTCTGAATATTGTTTAAATTTGTAATAATTGGTGAGGGGCCCAGTGGACAGCGGAGGAAGAGCAATCAGTATGAGGGCTGGCGAACGACATTGGGGTGACAAGCTACAGGATAGCGACCCGCAGGTGGGAGGGGGAAGTGACCAATGGATAATAAAGGCCAGCTAGCTGGACGGCGGAAGAACGGCCACTACCAAATGCTGCAGATGGCGGTCTACAGGTTATTTGGCAGGGGGCAGCCGATGACCGATGGATGGCAATCGGCAGCAGCTGAAGAAGAATGTTACAAAAAGAAAACATGCAATTTTTTAAATTAGGTGAAGAGAGTATATGAAAGAAACTATTGAAAATAGAAGCACTTTTTAAAAGTTAGTGTTTCTATTTTTTAATCTTTAGCACTTTTAATTTTTATTCTTGTAATTGTAAAGTACTTTAAAAATGCAAA